TGCCACTCAGCATCCACGGTGGCCTTTTTAAGGGCGAGATCCCATCCCATCCCACTCCTGTTCCCAGCCCTCCTGGGGCTGAGATTCAGGTGGCGCGTCTGTGTCATGGCCCACTGGCTTGGTGACATAACACTGTCTTCTCTGCTCACTCGACCTCCCACTGCCCCTCACCACTGTTCAACCACCCGGCCTCCCTGCTGTTCCCAGAGCGCGTCAAGATCAGCTGAATCTCAGGGCGTTGGTGCCTGCCTTCGTCGGCATGGTCCAGAAGGTTCTTCCCCCAGTTACCCAATGACTGACTCCCTCCCTTCACTCCGGGGAGGTTTTCCTAACCAAGTTCTCCTCTAAAGAAGCCCTCTGCTCTTCACCCTGCTTTGATTTAGTTGAGCTTCGGTCATTGTGGTTGGTTTGTTTTGTGGTGCTGGGACTTGAACCCCGGGGCCTTGTGCGTGTAGGCAAGTGCTCTTCCACCCAGCTACAACCCCGGCCCTGCTTCGTTGTCTTTAAAGAACTTAGCAACACAGGACACACACTCCTGGGTTGCTTCACAACAGGAGTGCGCTCCCACGCGCATCCTTCCCTGGTTTCTCCGTGGAGTGTACTTACTGATAGAGCCACTGACCCTTACAGTCCTGTGGGACCACAGTAGTACCCGTGGTTCGCTGTTTTTCCCAAAATGTTGTTGTGTGGCCACATCACTGATCTTTTCTCTGGTTCCCTCACTTGTATGGGAATGGAATAAAAGTAGAGATTTTATATCATACTCATGAGTCACCTGAGCCCATCGCAGCACCTAGCACAGATTCAGAGTTTTTCAAAAAATATTTGTGGAGTGAACGAAGCTATTGTTATAGTCCAGTCAAACTCAGAGCAAAGCAGTAAACACCCAAAGACAGTGAATTCACGAGTCAGGAGGGATTCCAGGCTGCCTCTTCCCCGTCACCTTCCCAGGCAGAAAGGTCGCCTAGCAGGGGCAGGTGATGGCTGGAGAGGTTTGGGGGTTTTTTTTGTTTGTTTGTTTTGTTTTTGTGTGTGTTTTGTTTTGTTTTGTTTTGGTACTGGGGATTGGACCCAAGGGTGCTTTACCACTGAGCTAAATCTCCAGCCCCCCTTTTTAAAATTTATCTATGACAGCAGAATGCATTACAATTCTTATTACACATATAGAGCACATTTTTTCATATTTCTGGTTGTATACATAGTATGTTCACACCAATTCGTGTCTCCGTACATGTACTTTGATCATGATGACCAGCACATTCCACCACCATTAATGACCCCACGCCCCCTCCCTTCCCCTCCCACCCCTCTGCCCTATCTAGAGTTCATCTGTTCCTCCCATGCTCCCGCTCCCTGTCCCACTGTGAATCAGCCTCCTTATATCACAGAAAACATTCATCCAGCCCCTTTTTATTTTTTACTTTGAGTCAGGGTCTCCCTAAGTTGCTCGGGGCCCTGCTAAGTTGCTGAGGCTAGTTTTGAACTTGCCATCCTCCTGCCTCCGCCTCCTGAGCTGTTAAAATCACAGGTGTGCACTGCACCCCCACACCCAGGAGCCCGCGGGAGAGAAACGATATTTTCAGCCTTTTTCTGAAGGTCTCCCTGCCTCCGTCTCCTTGTGGGCTTCTGTGCCTTCTTCCTCTTCCCTCGGCTGAGGGCTGCCAGGGTTGCTCTACTACCTGCAGCATCGGGCCCCTGCTTAGAAGTCTTTTTATTTCACACAAAGAACTATTGAGCCTTTGCCATGAGCCAAAGAGTCATGACAGGTACAGAGCACGCAGAGAGATGGTAGAACCTAGTTAACTTCTACGCGATACAGGAAGGCAGACAATTGGATCCTTTTCCTACAATGAGGTAAGTACCCGAGGAGAGCCCAGAGGAAGGGTGTTTAACCCAGACAGAGGAGAATCAGGGAACTACTGAGGCGGGCAGGGAGGGTGAAGGGGTGATACTTGAAAGTAAGAATTAGTTAACAAAAGGATTAGAAAGGCAGGCCGTGCAGATGACTGGGACAACAAGAACCAAAGTTGATTTTATGAGTAGCAGGAACACAATTTGGGGGCTGCACCCAGAAAACATTCAGTGGTCTCTCGTCAGCTCTCACTTACCTTTTATTTTCCGAGGCTTTTTTTTTTTCTTTTCTAGTTACTAGGAATTGAACCCACTGAGCATGCCCATGCCCAGCCCTTTTTGCTTTTCCATTCTGAGATAGGGTCTCACCAAACTGCTGAGGCCGACCCAGAACTCATGACCCTTTAACCTCAGCCTCCCCAGGGGCTGGGATTAGAGGCCTGTGCCTCGTGCCCCACTTATACTTTGTCACTTCTATCAAAGAGATTTGACGGATCCAAAAGTGCCAGCGCATAAGAGGAAACCGAGGAGGGACACCTTGTCCCAGGAAGGGTGAGGTTCGCTCTGGGGAGCTGCGGGCGCTGACCTCCTTCCCTCTTTCCCCCCTCCAGCTGCCACCCAAGGGGAAGCTCCGGACCCTGTGCAGCCAGCACGTGGAGAAGCTGCAGGTCTTCCAGCATCTCCACCCCATCGTGGTCCAAGCTGCTTTCCCCCCGCTCTACAAGGAGCTCTTCAGCACTGACACCGAGTCCCCCGCGGGGCTGTCCAAGTGACCGGAACAAGGATGCCTTTCCTCTCCCTTCAGACCTGGGTCCACTCTCAGCCTTTCTCTCCCCAGGTCTCTGGAGGGCGGGCCCCAGCAACTCTCTGGGAATGAGCAAATACTGAGACTGATTTTCTACCCCCAGATTTACCTGGCAGTGGATCACCAGCCAGAGGGGGGCGTGGAAGAACCCCGTCTCCAGCCTTGGCCCTGTTCTGTCCCATTTCCCACCCCCTCCACCCGTCTTCTGGGAGTATGGGGTGGACGGGATATAAGGACCTCTAGGAGGACCAAGGTGTCCTCGAGAAAACAGGGAGTCCAGGGCGCCCTGGATGAGAAGAACTCAACTCTGGGCTCAGAAGCTAAGAACAGGCCTTTGAAATACCTCATTGCATTTCCCCCGGAGCTTTGGCTGGGGGAGATGGATCAAGCTCAGAGACTAGTGGCAAGAGCCCAGAAGGACCTGTCTATAACATGAATCTGGATCCTTACATTTTCTGCCTTCTTTCTTCCTCTTAGTTCAGCAAAGAAGTTGTTGGGCACCCTGCCCTTTTCCTGGGATCTAAATAACCTGAATATAATGCTGGGCACAGTGGCACACGCCTGTAACCCTAGCGGCTCGGGAGGATGAGGCAGGAGGATCACGAGTTCAAAGCCAGCCTCGGCCATGGCGAGACGCTAAACAACTCAGTGTCTTAATAAACTACAAAATAGGGCTGGGGGTGTGGCTCAGTAGAGTTCCATCCCTGGTACCAAAAAAAAAAAAAAAAAAACCTATGGCAGACAAGAATGGGAAGGGGGTGGAGGGAGGGGGGTAATTGTCCCGGGATTTGGGTGTGAAGGGAGGGTAACACAGTGGACGCCAATACCCTCAGGTCAAGAGATACAGAGGTCAAGAAGAACCCTTTTATGCGCACTTTAAATATAAACCGTAGGGGTCTGACACACATTCACACACAAGCGAAATACAGGTGAACTAAACTGGCAGTCCTGCAGTTCTTTTGGCACCCTTGGTCTGACACACTCTCTCTCATCCCGAGGTCACAGCTCAGAGAAACCTAGTGACCTCAGAAAGAGTCTCAGTCTGTAGGATCCCAGGACATTTCCGTGGCGATCCAGCCCACCAGTCTTACACCTGGAGTGGTCCAAACTCCCACCGGGCTCCAACCATGTTCTATCACCAGAGCTGCCCAGAGGCCAGGCGGGGTAGAGAGCGTCCCCCGCCCGCAATCCCAGCTACGCAGGAGGCCGAGGCATAAGAATCCCAAGTTCAAGGCCAGTCTCAGCAACTTAGTGAGACCCTGTTGCACAGAATATAAAAAAGGCCGGGGATGAAGAAAGACAGACACTGGGGACAGGGGGACTTCCTTGGCCAGGGACTACTCTCCCCATGAAAAAGAGAAGGTGAAGCCATCCCGCGGCTCTGTGACTGGCTGCCGCTGCGTCTACCAGGAAGAACCAGGGATCTGGTTCTCTGTTGTGACCTTGTCCCAGAATTTCCTTTGCGTCAGAAATAGCGGTGGACCCTCCGGGGAGAACTAAATAGCAGGTGATGGGAGGATTTTTTAATTTTTTTTCCTCTCAGGGGAGGGACTTGGCTGGGTAAATATAAACCCCAACCTGTACAGTTCTCTATAAAATGATCTGAAAGGCAAGAAGTGTGTGTGTGTGTGTGTGTGTGTCAGGATGGAGGGAGTCTTCAATATGAGTACCTATGTGCCTGCTCGCTGGTCTCATTCCGTGTCCGGTCAGCACCTTGTCATTAAGAGAATTCTAGCCCCCATCACCCCCAGGCTGAGCAGTACCCCCCACCGAGGCTCCTGAGCCAGTCCTCGGGTACTTCCACCCAAGGTGCCTCAAACTAAGCTCCACGGGGAATGTAGAGGGGTGAGAACTTTTCCATACACGATGCCCACGGGGGCAGTTTAGATTTAGAGGTGGCACAGCATCGCTCTGCACCTGGGAGACCAAAAGGCAATTCTCTGGAAGCTGGTGAGCGGGGGAGCTCCCGAGCTCCCTGGAGAGGAATCGGGATGTCAGAGAGACCCTTTGTGCCACCCGGCTGCCTCTCTTGCAGACCCGTCCCTGGCACAGAGCCTCCCCCTGGCTCCTTTCCTCCACTGACATCCTGTCGTGGCCGCTTGCTGCAGACCTCCCTGGTGGCTTTATTTATTTATTTTGCACCAACAGGGTTGCTGCAGACTCATTCTCGCCTGATTTAAAAAAAGAGAGAGAGGAAAAAAAAATAGGAGAAATGCTTCCTGGCTCTTTTCTCTCCCTGTGTCTTGGCAGCAAGGACCACAGCGGTAGCAGCAGCGGTGGCAACAGCAGCAGCAGCAGTGGCTGTGGCGGTGGCAGGCGGGCGGGCGGGCGGGCGGGAGTGGGGAGCGAGGCACAGACGGGAAGTGCAGTGGCCCCAGGTGCAGCTCGAAGGGACGGGGGCCCCCAGCCCCGGGCAGATGCAGTGTCCAACTTGATGCCACCCTCCGGCGTCTCCGGTAAGTGCCCCTGCCCTCTGTCCCCAACGGCAGCTGCCCTTTTCGGTAACATTCTCAGAGACAAAGCCAAACCCGGGAGCCTGTCAATGGAAGAGGACTGTACCCCGCCCCCGCCCGCCAACCCTTGCTCCCGCCACCACAGGACTTTCATGGGTGCCCCTAGGTGGAAGGACTCCATGGAGACCTCCTCCATTTTCTCCCCAGAGATCCCTCTACCCCTGGGCAGAATCTCCCCCCAGGGTCAGTGTGGATAATCCAGAAATCTTTCCCCCAGCAGTTCCCTCCCCACACAGGACCCTACGCCCCAGTCAGGTGAGCTTGGAAGAGGACACCCATGTTCACATGTGTCTCTGAACTGCCACACGGGGCCAGGAGGACGCTCTCCATCCTTGGCAGGGGGGATGCCCCCACCCCATTGAAGGAGAGAAAGAAATGGCCCGACACCTATCTCCTCCGGCAGAGTGGCTGGAAGCCAGTCCCGTACCCATGGAGCTGGGCAAGTTTGTGATTAAATTAGCCACCTGATAAATAAGAGAGTCTGGCTCCAGGTCCCCCAGCCCCTGGCCCAGCAGGTTTGGGGGACTAAGAGGAAACCCACAAGAACGGGAAGGAGGGAGGCTGGGTTCTATGCTCCATTGCACTTTTGCTGAATGCAGAGCAAAAAGGATGAGCAGGAGCTGCAGCGACGGTGATGAACAGCTAGCTGTCAGGTGGACTTCCCAGAACAGGCCCAGGAAGGAGGGGGGAGGCTGGGCATTCCTGTCCCTGGAGAACTCTCGGCATGCCGGATACCTGTTAGGTTAGAGTAAGGGCAGAGGAGGCCGCTAGCAGCCTTTGCCCCTGGCCACTCTTTTCCATCCTCCAAGCCTCCGAATAGTTCCCTGCATCCCCTCTGCCGTTTCTTGCACCCCGTCAAGTCTGATGCTGGGGTCTCTTTCTTCAGTTTCCTCTGAGGTGGATAAAGGATAGCCTCTGGAATGACTCTGCTGGCGGAGGGTGGAGAATGGAAAGGAGGGGGAAGAAGTCGCACTGTCCTGTGTTCCACTTGGGAGAAAATAGGGCACAAAGCAGAGAGCTGACCCCACAGGACCCAGAAAGCCTGAAGCTCGGAGCCCAGAGGTGATCAGGACCTGCAGCCGGGGGTGCTGCCTCCAGGAGAACCCGTGGCTCTTGCCACGATCACATCAGCCGCCCCTTCCCCATTCCAACACTTTCCCTCCCTCCGGGTCCCTGTTGTATCAAACAGGGCAAATTGAGACAGCCACTAAAGACCTCTTTTTCTCTATCACCTTAAATCTTCCTGATATTGCCCAGGCTCCTGGTACCCAGAACCCCCGATGTCTGCTGTGCCAGCCAAGGGCTCCTCTTCTCCCCACCCCACAGCATCGGGCCAGATGCTCTCTCTCCTCCCTTATCTATGCCTCCCAGAATCACAGTCCATCCTAGCACAGGCCAGAGGGGACAAGTGGCTGTCTCTTAGATTCACACACAGACTAGAATCAAAACACTATTAAGAAGTGTTATAAGGGCTGGGCCCAGTGGCACATGCCTGTAATCCCCACAGCTCGGGAGGCTGAGGCAGGAGGATCACATATTCAAAGCCAGACTCAGCAATTTAGCAAGGCCTTAAGCAACGTAGTGAGACCCTGTCTCAAAATAAAAAATAAGAAAAGGGCTGGGGATGTGTTTAGTGGTTAAGTGTCCCTGGATTCAGTCCCTGGCATTAAAAAAAGAAGAAGGAGGGTTATAAGAGAAAAGTGAGGACCAAACCACTCACACCCTGGGCAGCCTTTGCAGGAGAGGAGGGGTTGGTAAGAGATTCCCAGCTCCCCCAGAGAGTGCCCCCTGCACCCTGGGTCACGGATAGTGTACAGCTGGCTGTCATCCACACAGGCATCCTGGGGAGGCTGGATCTCCTAGTCCAGACTTCAGGCCGTGGGCCAGGCTGGACGGGTACAGAGACAAGGGGCAGGGCCTGGGGTGACAGCTGAGTCGAGGACCTTCCTTGAGCCCTAGGCAAAGCCATCCGTGACAAGGGACAGCAAGGGTAGGCTGAGAGGGAGAGCAGCACTTGGGGAGCAGATATCAGGGAGAAGGGATCTAAGTTATTCCTGGACCCTACAGACACAGGGAGAAATCATTACAGAAAGACTCAGAGTTACTTCCCTTCTGCTGCCTGTCCCATTCCAATAAAACTTCCCCCCGAGAAATCAGGTTGACTAGGGGTTCACGAGGTAGTTGCAGGAGCACAGAGCTGGTTAGCCAGGCCTGGGATGGGGGGCGGGGAAAGGAAAGATTCCCCAAAGAGGAGTCCCAGGAAGCCCCAGGAGGTGGTGCCCCAGACAGAATTCTTCCTGGCAACGCTAAGACAGACCAATTTCAATAGGGAGGGCTTGAAAAAGTCCAGGTCACCATCACCTGAAGCCACATCCTCTCTTCCAGGACTCAAGAGGCGATGGATGCAGCCACAGCTCCACAGCAAGCCTGGCCCCCGTGGCACCCCCTTCTTTTCCTGCTCCTCCTGCCTGGAGGTAGCAGTGGTAGCTGCCCTGCCGTTTGTGACTGCACCTCCCAGCCCCGAGCCGTGCTCTGTGCCCACAGGAGACTAGAGGCTGTCCCTGGGGGACTCCCGCTGGACACTGAGCTCCTGGACCTAAGTGGGAACCGCCTGTGGGGGCTTCAGCGGGGCATGCTTTCCCGACTGGGCCTGCTCCGGGAACTGGACCTCAGCCACAACCAGCTCTCGGCCCTGGAGCCTGGGGCCTTCCATGGCCTGCACAGCCTGCTCACCCTGAGGCTACAGGGCAACCGGCTCCGCATTGTGGGGCCCGGGGTCTTCTCGGGTCTGTCTGCCCTCACGCTGCTTGACCTCCGCCTCAACCAGATTGTTCTCTTCCTGGATGGAGCTTTCGGTGAGTTAGGCAGCCTCCAGCAGCTGGAGGTTGGGGACAATCACCTGGTGTTTGTGGCTCCAGGGGCGTTTGCAGGACTGGCCAAGTTAAGCACCCTCACCCTGGAGCGCTGCAACCTCAGCATGGTGCCGGGCCTGGCCCTGGCCCGGCTCCCAGCACTAGTGGTCCTTAGGCTCCGGGAACTGGATATTGAGAGGCTGCCGGCCGGGGCGCTGCGGGGGCTGGGGCAGCTAAAGGAGCTGGAGATCCACCACTGGCCATCTCTGGAGGCTCTGGACCCTGGGAGTCTGACGGGGCTCAATCTGAGCAGCCTGGCCATCACTCGCTGCAACCTGAGCTCTGTGCCCTTCCAAGCTCTGCACCACCTGAGCTTCCTCAGGGTCCTGGATCTATCTCAGAACCCTATCTCTGCCATCCCAGCCCGGAGGCTCAGCCCCCTGGTTCGGCTCCAGGAGCTGCGACTCTCAGGGGCCGGCCTCACTTCCATCGAGGCCCACGCCTTCCACGGCTTGTCCACCTTCCACCTGCTGGATGTGGCCGATAACGCCCTTCAGACCCTGGAGGAAACGGCTTTCCCTGCTCCAGACAAACTGGTCACTCTGAGGCTGTCTGGCAACCCCCTCACCTGTGACTGTCGCCTCCTCTGGCTGCTCAGGCTCCGGAGCCGCCTGGACTTTGGCACCTCCCCGCCTGCCTGTGCCAGCCCCCAGCAGGTCCGGGGGAAGAGCCTGAGGGAGTTTTCAGACATCCTGCCTCCAGGGCATTTTACCTGCAAACCAGCCCTGATCCGAAAGTCTGGGCCCCGGTGGGTCATTGCCGAGGAGGGAGGACACGCCGTTTTTTCCTGCTCGGGAGATGGAGACCCAGCCCCCACGGTCTCCTGGATGAGGCCTCAGGGGGCTTGGCTGGGAAGGGCAGGGAGAGTCAGGGTCCTAGAGGATGGGACACTGGAGATCCGCTCAGTACAGCTGCAGGACAGAGGGGCCTATGTCTGTGTGGTCAGCAACGTAGCTGGGAATGACTCCCTAAGAACCTGGCTGGAAGTAATTCAAGTTGAACCACCCAACGGCACTCTCTCTGACCCCAACGTCACCGTGCCAGGGATCCCAGGGCCTTTCTTTCTAGACAGCAGGGGTGTGGCTATGGTGCTGGCAGTTGGCTTCCTCCCCTTCCTCACCTCAGTAACCCTCTGCTTTGGCCTGATTGCCCTCTGGAGCAAGGGCAAGGGCCGGGTCAAACACCATGTGACCTTCGACTTTGTGGCACCTCGGCCCTCTGGGGATAAGAACTCTGGGGGAAATCGGGTCACTGCCAAGCTCTTCTGACTTTTCCTTCCACCCAGGGGATCCAGACAAGTCCAATTCAGACACCCAAGGGAAAGACAGAACCAAGGCCACTTGGACCAGAACCTCATCCCAAGCAGCCCAGATCTCCCCAACCCGCCACCTGCCTCTTGCCAGCAAGTAGTGACGCCTCCTGAGAAAGGGGCTGCTGTCCGTGCCTTTCCAGTCTGAGGACAGCACCGTCATCTCTTCTCCAAGGGTGCAAGGATTTGGAGATCTAGACCCTGTAGTCCACCCAGCCCTCCCTTCATCCCCACCCCATGTGGGGCAGGAAACAACCAAGGTTCCAGTCTGCCACTCTAACCACTAGGCTTTCTTCGCACAATTACATTCTCTAATAATCAATACCAATTGCAACCATAGCCAAGATTGTTTTGGAGGTGAGACTCACAAGTGCCACTTGCTTCTTGGGGTCTTTGCTCCTTACCCAGGAAGTTTCCCTTTCTTTTCTACTCCCCATCACACTTCAGCCCCAGGCTGTAAGTGTAAGGAACTAGAGGCCAGGATCCTCAAGCTAGGAGAAGAGGATGCATGCGTGATATGGGGGAAGATGGACCACACACTGGGCTGTGTCTGCATGAGCCAACACCTTCCTCTATCTGACCATTAAACCTGCTGCCAAAAGGTCACTACACTCGCAGCCAAAACAAAACACCATCTCTGGAACGTTCTTTACTTCAGTCTATTTCCTCCCGTCTACCCCTTTCTGCCTATTGACCATGTGACCCAATGGCCTCACCTCCACCTAACCCAGTTTGACATACGGGGTAAGGGGGCCTACCAGCCTGGAAAGATCAGCGCTCCCAGCTCCTTTCGGTCTCAATCCTTTCCCTTTTACTCCCCTTCTCTGGAGCTGGGGCAACTTCCAGGGGATCCCGGTGCAAAAATCCCAGCTTAGGATACCCAGCTCCTCCCCTCCTTTCTAGTTTTTCTGGTGTCAGATTCCCTACTGCACTGGTGGGGATAAAGCTAGAGGAAGCCCCGAGAAAATGACTAACAAATGCAAAGCTGTCAAAGGAGAGAGACCCAGATTGCAGAAGGTGCTAGGCTGAGGGACAAGGGAGGGCAGCCCAGCGAGTGGGAAGTGGAGGGGGAAGGAGCAGCAGGATCTGCCTGCCTGGTTACTTTCCACTTCCCTTCTGTAGCAGTCCTGGTCTGTGTTTGGCACAGCCCTAGTGGGAAGCCGTCTCTGGACAGACGTCACCCAGACAGGGAAGTGGAGGGAAGGTTTGGAACTGCTGACTACCACAAAGTGTTTCAAACAGAGGACAAAGCCAAGCCCCAAAAAGTAGAGATGCTGAGTGCTCAAGAGATCAGGCGACAGTCTCAGCATCACCAGAAGGGGAGGAGCAAAAAGGAGCCCAGCGGAGCAGGAGGAGGGACTGACAAGGGGAGAATCACGTGGCCCCAGGGAGCCTTGCTTGCTCTGCAGCAGCATCTGCCCAGCGTCCTTAGTTCCCCTCCTCCTCTGGATCGCCTCCCACCCCATACCAAACCACAGGCGAACATCATGAGCTTCCTAGCCGCTGCTGTTTGTCCTTGGTCTGAGGAGACTCCACTCTTACTACAGTCCCAGCTCAAACTGTCCCCGACAGGTGAGGGCAGCCAGTGCTACGGAGGAGGCAGAGCTGGACTTGAGGCCAGGCAACTGCTCAGTGGGGCACAAGTGAATGTGAGAAGCCATCAGTTTGGGGTGTGACTGAAGAAATCAACATCCATGAGAAATAGGTATCCCGAGTCCTCCTGCCAAACTCCCCCACTGTGCACAACTCAGTCAGCATCCCAGGGGCTCCCCCACAACCTCCCCCAGCTTATTAGCTTAGGACTTGGGAGTCTGGCGCCAGTGGCTCTCAGTCTACTGGTCCTCTCTGCAATGCAGATAAGGGCAGAAGCAGCCCTGCTGTTGGAGAAATCTCCATGTGGCCCCTGGGGCGGGCAGTCAGGAACAGATGAACGTCTGGCACAGGGTTCTGTGCCACCAAAGTCTCAAGAGCAGAGATGCCAAACAGAAAAAGAAGTTGAGTCACATGTGTAAATTCAAATTTTCTAGGGGCCCATTGAAAAAGTCAAAATGACGCAGTATGATTAATTTCAAAACTAGATTTTATTTAACCCAATGTAACCAAACTATTTTTATTTCAACATGTTATCAATATAAAAATCAGTGAGGAAACACTTAACATTATTTTTTTATACTTGGTTTTTGAAATCCAGTATATATTTTATATTCATAGCACATTTTCAATTAAATCACTAATTTTTTTTTACCGAAAATATTTGTATATAAATTTCATTAAATTCACTGCTGGAAAAGTAGATTCACACATCAAAGTTGTTCCAAACATACTGTTTTCCAATAAATGAATCAAGTATCTGTTTTAAACTTTAAACTGGTTATAATTAAACAAATATAAAATCCCATTCTTCAGTTGCACTACCACCTTTAAAAGTGCTCAATAACTACACGTGGCCAGCAGCTACTATACAGCTAGAATGCAGCTCCAGAAATGATGGCACTAAGCATAGAGAAGGGTCTCCCTGGTAAACAAAATATCACCCAAGAAATAGTGTTCCTCTCTACCACCCGCCACTCCTGTTCTCCTTTCCCAGTTTTTCCAGGATAGCTTCAAGGGTTAAAGTCTGCTAAGGAGACCAGGTTAATGTAATGAGCATTTCTACAGCTTGTCAAATCACCAACAAGCCAGTGCCCCCTCTTTAAAACACACACACACACACACACACACACACACACACACACACACACACACATCCCTACCTTTCGGTTATGGATAAACCTTTATTTTTATTTATTTTTATGTGGTGCTGAGATCAAACCCAGTGCCTCCCACATGCTGGCAAGCGCTCTACCACTGAGCCCCAGCCCCAGAGTGCAGTCCCTCCTCTTACCTGACTGGAAAGGCCGCTCTTAGGCTGGGTATGTGTGCCAGTGAGGATGCAACTGCCACTGGGGACACGAGTGGGTATACCACATGGTTTTGTGGGGCATGACCACATGCAAGGATATGATAGAGGCAGTTCAATGGCAGCTCTGTCCAGGGTGGGAGAGAAGAAAACCGCCCAGAGAGAAGAAAACATTCACTTAGGGTTTCCTCCATTTAAATGGCCTTATATGTTTTTTTACTGAACCCTCCCATCAACCCCGTCTGGTAGGTAGGCATCTTAACTCATCAACTCCAGGTAAAATAGGTTAAGTCACTCGGGTTGCTCGTGCACAGAGCTAGTTACTAGGGAACCCCATCTGAACTCAGGTTGGTCTGCTTCATCACACTGCCACATTCACTGTTCTTGCCTCTTCTCCCAGGACCTCTCACTTGCAGGACATAAACTGTGACAAAGGTAACATCTTCCACCCAACTCATTCTAAACTTGTAGAGCAACAGATCTGTTGTTAATCCCCACCTTCCTTCCACAACTCTATTTCAGGGAGTCGTTTTTACCATTTCGGCTTCAGCCCTTCTCCCAGTGCTCAGCTTCTGTCTCCAGGACGGGCAGAGAGGAGCAGAAACTCCAGGAATCAGGCAGACTGATGTGAAATGCCGGTCTCGCATCAAAGGACTCTCTTGTGATTAAATATGAAGGCTCTGAACTTCCTAGTTCCTTTTCTGGGTTCTAACCTCAGCAAGCTCTTAGGTTAGAGAAAGGCTGTTCAGAAATGTGCCCTATGGTGGAACAATCAGGGAGCTGTCTGAATCCATTCACTCTGCCCACCTTCTGCTGCCCGAGCTTGGCAGGTCCTCACGAAGTCATCTCATCACACACATCTTCCACCCCTACTAGCCTCCATCTCAGTCACGGTCTCACCTGCGCTGAGGGAACTTAAACCCAAAGTACTCTGGCACCATTACAGCGGGTCCCATTTGGGCCCTTGATATACTCTTTCTCTAACTTCTGACTTCCATTTCCTTAGCCAGGCTAGATCCTGACTCAGAGAATGAGAGCACTGCAAGGCAATGATCCTCAACCTTGAATCATGGGCCCTTGAAAATAACTAGTGTACTTTAGGAACAAAAATGTTTATCCATTATCCAGTCATGTGGAAGCCACCAAAGATCCTATGGAATGCAGGTTAGGAACCTCTACTGTGGGCCAGGTACAATGGTACACACCTATAACCCCAGAACTTCAGAAGCTAAGGCAAGAGAATTGCAAGTTTGAGGCCAGACACAGCAACTCAGCAAGATCCTGACTCAACATAAAAAATAAAGCTGGGTGCAGTGGTGCATGCCTGTAATCCCAGTGACTTGGGAGGCTGAGGCAGGGGGAACTGCAAGATCAAAACCAGCCTCAGCAACTTAGCAAGACACTTAGCAACTCAGCAAGACCTGTCTCTTAAATAGAATATAAAAAAGGGCTGGGGTTGTGGCTCAGTGGTTAATTCTCAGTACCTGGGTTCAATTATCAGTACCCAAATAAGTAAGTAAATACATAAAAATTTTAAAAATTTAAAAAGGCTTGGGATGTGGTAAAGCTTAGGTTGCCTTTGTTCCCTGGGGCCCAGTGGAGGCAAGGAGAAAGGCTGGGAAGGACCACAGAGTGAAGGAGGTGTTTAGCACAGATGATGGAAAAGGCCCTGTCCCCTTCTCCCACACTACTCATTCCTCAGGGACAGGCAGTGTGAGGATCACTCATACTAGAGAATATCTAAGACTAGAGATTCTCAAGTCATGTTTTATAAGGGAAATGAAGCAAGACTTAAGAGATGGGAAGTTGAAGCCAGAGAGGCTGGGGAGAATCTCTCCCAGGATACCTGCCAAGGTTCATCAGTCTGATCTAAAGATGCAATAGCACCAGCATAAATTATGAGAATAAGGCTCTTGCTCCTAGTTGCTGGTTTCTTTCTTTTTTTTTTTTCTTTTTTTGAAGTTGTATGTGGACAGCATGCCTTTATTTTCTTTGTCTTGTTTTTATGTGGTGCTGAGGATCAAACACCAGTGCCTCACCCATGCTAGGCAGACGCTCTACCACTGAGCCACAGCCCCAGCCCTTGTCGCTGGCTTCTGATAAAGAGGCTGGATAAATGAAAGAGAAAGGGCTGGCTCCTATGGTTGGCCAAAGGAGAGGTGAGTGCTGTTTCTCAACGACTTGGGCAACTGAATGTTCCTTGACTGGCTCATCCACATGTTTTATGGGAAGGGAACTTTGTGAGCCACGGCTCTGGAGTCAGGCTACCAGAGTCTGGGCAGTGAGGGCTGCCCAGACACTAGCTAAAAATCTACTCTTCTGTTTCAGGCTTAACAGCTGCTCACCAAATTCTCTGGGAAATCCAGGCCTTCTGTTAACTTATTTCACCTACTACCTCCTGCAGCTTATTCAGAACTCCCATCAAGGAAAGAAAAGAGACTCTAAGGAACTGGACATGAAAATACAGAAATTACTATTCACCCCATCCTGCATCTCACACTCAATCTCTCAATTCTGATTTGGGTTCTTAGTAGGAAAATGATATAAAAATTCCAAATGCACGGTGACTTGAGAGTGAGTTTGGAATCCTCTATTAGAATCACTTCAACTAAAGTTATTTCCTCTATTCCCCCAACCTCACCAGCCAGTTAGAAGTTAACCCTCTCTTAAAAAATTTCCAGGAATAGTGATTCCACCTGGCTTTTCACTGCCCTGATTAAGAAATCCCTCCTGTCGTGTGATTTTAACTTTTAATCCCCACTTTGTACTTCCATTTCATTTCCTCCTTATTTGCCCACCCCATCCTCACTGGAGCTGGACAATGATGATCTATAAAGTAATGCTGCACCTTTTAGAGCAACACTGGGCATTCCTTGGATTTAAACTACTCTGTAACCTTTCTAGAGTAAAAATAGCTATAGCAATCAAGACACTCAAAAATCTAAACAAGAGGGGGCTGTGGATACGGCCCAGTTGGTAGAGTGCCCACCTGCACATAGGCCCTGTGGTCAATCCCCAGCACCAACACACACACACACAAAAAAAAAATTCTAAACAAGAAACATGTAAATGACGAAAACTTTAAAACACTACTGACAGGACATCAATGGCTTCAACTTATAGGAAGATTCTATATCGTAAATACAATTCTCCTTTAAGTAATCTAAAAACATGTGATTCCATTCACAATAACATTAGCCACATTGAAGTAAATTATGGCACAATATAAATATATTACACAGTAATACAAACAAATGACTTAAAATTATACACTCCATGACTGAATCTCACAAATACTTAAGCAAAGGAAGCCAGACTCAAAGAAGTATATACTCTGTAATTGTGTGTGTGTGTGTGTGTGTCAGATAAAACTAGTTTATAGTACTAGAAATCATTATCCTTGTGGGGAATACTGACTGGAAGGGGACACAGGGGGCTCTGATTGATAATGTTCTGGTTTTTGAACTGGTGCTGGTTACGAAAATGTATTCCATTTTTGAAAATTCATCAAAATGTGTACTTTTTTATATTTTTCTGCAGGTACACTGTACATTAATTTTTAAATTGTGTTAAAAACCCAAAGTATAGCAATTAAAAAAATAAAATAGAAGAACATAGATATCAATGGAACAAAATGAAAAATCCAGAAACAAACTCAGATACTTGTAGAAATTTGGGTACTATAAAGATAACATTCAAAAACAATGGAGAAAATAAGAGTTATTCAATAGGAAAGGCTGGATAAAACAAAATAAAATTGGACCTCTATTTCACATCTTTATACAAAAATAAATTTCAGATGAATCAAATATCTGCATTATGTGGGATGGGGATGTAGTTCAGTGGTAAAGCACTTACCTTCCATGTACAAGGCCATGGGTTCAATCCCCAGTACTGCAAAAACAACAGACAGACAAAAACTCAAAAATTCACATACAAAATGGTAGTACAAAAATATGAAGTAGTTTAAAAAAAAAAAAAAACTTTGGTGGGAAACTTCTCTAAAGATGATATGAAATCCAAAAGTTATCAAGGAAAATGTTGATATGTTCAACTATGTATAAATTTTTAAAATTTCATTTAAAAAATCACCATAAACAAAGTTAAAACAGAACCAGCTGGGCGTGGTAGTGCATGCCAGTAATCCCAAAGACTTGGCAGAGGCAGGAGTATTGAAAGCTCGGGGCCAGCCTGGGCAACTTAGCAAGACCCTGTCTCAAAAATAAAAAATAAAAAGGGCTGGGAATGCAGTTCAGTGGTAGGGCACCCCGGGGTTCAAACCACCTCCACTACCAAAAAAAAAAAAAGGGACATAAACCCGACTGGGAAAAGAGGAAAATATTTTTAACTTAAATACAAAGAATAAATATTAAGGAAACATTCAATAAGCAATAAAAATATTAACAAAGTATATAAATATATAATTAACAAAAATGCAATTGCCAGCTAAAAGACACTCAACCTATAAAGAAATAAAAATTGCAATGAGATACCATTCACACTGTCAAAATCAAGATGTGATAACACTGTGTCAGTGTGCTATGAAACAGCTTTTCCACACATTGCTGAAGGAAGAGAAAACTTGAACTTCTGAGGAAGGCAATATGGCAATGCTATACTTACCCAAATCCTTTCAAACACTGATAGTGGAATGAAAATCAGAAAAAAAAAAATTGGGAGAAAATGAATTTGCAAAATTTTTTCTATCCAAATGATAAAAAACAACAATAATGCATACACTTCTCTGACCTAGTCATTGCATTACTAAGTATCTAACCTATAGATACAGAAGAGCAAAATGAAGCATGCTTGCATATCAACATAACTACGCTAAAAGACTTATTTAATATATCCTAATATATGCTGCTATGAAAAGACTTCCAGATTATATAAAAGGAAATTGCAAAATGGTATGTATGTTATTGACTGGATATATATGTGTGTGTGTATATGCACATATATAATACCTGTACATATATATGCTGACATATATATGAATGTTAACGTATGAAATATCTTGCCTCTTTAGAGGAAATCGTCTGTAATAACTTCGGTTTCTTCTGACTCTTCCAGAATGTACACGCATTACTTATTCCAAACACAGACATATTTTTAAAATCGATAGAAGTTGGGCACGACTGCAGTCCCAGCCCCTGGAGGAGAGGCTGCGGCAGGAGGATCGCTCGAGTCCAGGAGTTCAAGGACAGACAGCCTGGACAATAGAGCGAGACCCCTCTAAAAATAAAAATAATAGTAGAAAAATAAAAAAAACCTGAGTCCCAAGAGCATGTCCTAACTGATGGGAATGCAATCTTCTATCCCACGAACCTCTACGGGCGCTCACCGGGCACTGCGACAGCAGCGGGGCGGCGGCCGACCCAGTGACCGGGCGCGCCCGCCGGGGAGAGCCTCGGGCCGGGCTCGGGCGGAGCGCACCGAGCGGGCGCAGCGGCGGCAGCAGGGCCCAACCGTTCTCTACGGCTGGTTAC